GGCTTCGGCCACGCATCAATATAAACTACCACGCGGCTCCCTCGATGGAGTAGGAACGCTTCATATCTTTCACCAACTACTGATTGGCATGGCAGTGCTTTCTTGGTTGCTATGTATACGTAGAAACCACATGGTCCTTGGTGCGTAGATATTTTCCCTCCTTTACAGGTTATGCATTTATGCACACATTAACTCCATTCCTGATCAATGGTTCAACAACCGGAGGAACGGGAGCTGGTGACCACAACTTGTGCAGAGGTAGCATGGGTAGCCAAATACTCCATCCGTTCCTAAATATAAGTCTTTTTAAAGATTTTAACAAGAAACTACATGCAGAGCAAAATAAATGAATCTATATTTTAAAATATGTCTACATACATCCGTATGTTATAGTCCATTTCGGACAGAGGGAGTAGTATTTAGGAACGGAGGAAATAGGTATTTACCCAGCATGGATATCGATATTTGGGGACTTCAGTTTGTTCTTTTAATGTGCTTTGGTCGTGCGCATCTCGGATGCGGTGGTTAAGGACTGTGATGCTGTTGTATTAACTTGATGTGATGATGCGTATTCAATAAAAGCTTTCTTGATAATAAACCATTGCACATGACTGTATGAGTAACTTCCGTCAATCTTTGCGTGAGCCAAGCATAACCTAAAAGGCATTTCATATCGCAGACACGTCTGATCATAGACTTAATATTGAAGTAAAAGAATTCACCTGACCGAGTTGGCAGGCACGTAAGCATCTTTTTTTAGTACCTAGTATAATACAATTACAGGATAGTTAACCTACTCAGTTTGAATGAACCTATCATAGTTTTTAGGGAAAAAATACATTCTTCTTAGATGAATGTTCTTGAGCTGACTTGTACATCAGACTGGAATATTCTCGCATCTCAATCACATCATGCAATATAAAAGGAAATTATTAATAGGAGTACTAACAAGTTGATGTGTACCAAGTTTGGCCACTCGCATGGATACTAATTAATGCGTTGCATGCTGGGTGAACCAGATGTGTGCCTTCTAAAGTCTAAACTACTGCATGTTTGGTAGCATCAGACAACGAATAGACCAAATTAGCTCTTCTGTATGCAATAAATCCAAATGCATGATTCATGGGCTAAGTAGTGTATAGATTTTATCCTCGAATCCATCGATTTCAAGAAGGTTGATGTTTATGTATTGGACATATAAGTTTGAAGTTACTGTACGTTTGACATCCAGTCAAATTCTTTCAATGTTATGGCCGCATACGTGGAAGCAGTATGTGCACAATATTGATCTTGAAAAGGAAAAGTACTTTCACTATAAACATAATTTCAATTGATTCAACTATATTGCTCCATGATTAGTCAAAGATATGTTTCTAAGATCTTCCAATACACTTGCTCTTTCTATCCAATTGAGTACATAAAGGCAGAAGTTTCCTAGGATTGCACAAGGAAACACTCAACAAGTAATTAGCAAGTCACCTTGGTAATTAAATATACCAAAAAGTAGAATTGATCCGGAGTTTAAGCTGGAGTATGATTGAACAAGACATGCACAACTTACTAGAGGATCAACGTGTTGAACACGAACAACGACAAGTCCACAAGTGAAGTAGTGTTTCTTAATAGATATCATCTAGATACATTTCGGTATACATGCATCCGGAAACCAGTATGAAATAACTCAAGCATACTCATCGACATCTATGAGAGTTAATATGAAAGCCTTATACATATAATAACGGACACATCACCATCACCGTAACACTACGGATGAGCCGTTGATATTACATAATTTGTTTTATGGAAATTTGCAAGAAATACATAGTGTGACTATTCCAGTTTTAAGTATAAATTATTGGCTCCAATAAGATCATTTGTATATTGAAATGAACTTAGGTCTACTAGATTACGGGACTCTTTGAATCTCAACTTACTTTAAACGAGCGCTTCCCACACAGATTGTTGGAAAGAGGAGTGAGTCAGGGTAGAACTTACCGAAAAAGGGTTTCCCCCCATTTTATATTATAAAGCAACCATCACCGATTACAACCGAGAGACCGATACAAGCGCACACCATCACCGCACACAACACACACCCAAGACAAGATACAAAGGTGACGGGCACCGACACACCAGACCTCCACCATGAGCATCCACAATAGAGAGGTGAGTCGGACAACAACGAAGCCAGGACTCCAAAGCGTTCCCTCCCAGAAGGGTAAGACCATGGATAGCCACCACCGCCCAATCCCGAAGACTAGGTTTTCACCCAGAGAAAGACGACATAAGTGGGAACGTCGCGATGGTGCCTTCAGGAAGGATATGGCGTCAACGGCTGCCACCACCGTCTGGTGTACCCCGGCGCTCACACCCCTCCGTTGCACCCTAACTCCGTCAACCATGCCACCCACATGGCCATGGTTGCCCGCCCGCACGTGAAACGCACGCTCTGCCCCCAAACATCGTGCCTCCCGCCGCCAGGGCCGCCACCCTGCAACTAAACAACCCCGAGGCCACACAAAGGCCCCGGCTTTGGCCCAGCCGGCAGCCCCCTACCGACGGAGAACTTGAAGCACGGGATAAGGAAAAAATAAGTATGCAAAAGGTGTGTAATTGGTATATGTACGTTAGGGGTGTAGAAAAAACAAAATGAAATAAGCCGGTTACGTTATTATATATGTTTCTTCTTGTGTGACAGTGCAATTACATATCCTCCACCAAAATGTGACATGGTATCATCATGTACATCTATCTATGAAAACCGGTTTCACGGGCATGATTAGTGTCGCCTCCTCACGCCCCTCCCCCCTTCCCCCCTCCCTAAGCACTAGCCGCCACCACCAATTTTACATCACGTAGCCGCCTCTCTCTCCTATCCTCTCCCGCACTCCCAACATCCCCCTGGTGTCGAAGGGGGCCTCTCCATCAGCCATAGCACAAGTATCTCTTCCCATCTACCTCGTCGCCATTGCTTCC